TGTGCAATTGCTAAGAACACCGCAGCACGTGTTGCTCGCAAACCCGATGGTCGTGCCGATGACGGGATTGACAATCCTACTGCCCCGTTTCAACAGCTCGCCACTGATAGTGTCATCCTTGCGAAAGGAGATGAACATGCGGGCATTGGAATCGGAGGGATTAAATCTCACCACGTCATCAGGGATGTTTTCTCTGGAGCAAGGATTGCATATCCTGTATCCAAAAGGGACACAGCAGCCCATTCCAAAAATCTAAGGCACTTCCTAGGTTTGAAAGCTAACGAGCTTGCTCCGACATGTCTAATCAAAATGGATGAAGCGGGGGAACTCGAAGCGGCAGCACATGAGGTCGGCCTGACACCCGAAACCTCGTTGCCGAATCGATGGCCCCATAATGCTGAGCTGGAAAGGGATATTAGGGAAGAAAAGGAATGTTGCAGATCCATCCAATTTCAGAGTGGGTTGCCGTACGATCTTCACACTCACTCCTATCCCTTCGCATGTCTCTCCATGTCATTCGACAGACCTGCAACATTCGACAAGGCTAAGACCCAATGGGAAGCCTTGACAAAGTCGAAGTTCGATGGCATTAGGCATTGCTTTGGTCAGCTTGTCTATTACCGTAAAAAGGGCATTAATAAGCGCACTCTAGAACCCAACTTGGCACCTGCTTTGTTTTTGGGCTGGAGGGTTGACGCAGGCCTTCGGTATCGCCATGTGGTCAAGGTCCTAGATTATCAAGAGTTTAGGACTCGTCGAGCGATTGTAGTGCATGATGTCCCGGAAGCAGAGCTCTTCGTTGAAGAAGGCGAGCCTTGTTTCCCCGTTGCGGCAGCAGCCCACAAGGCGCTGCGGACGGGGGAAGCCGAGGGTGAGCTCCCAGAAGTCGCTCTTAAAGAGGTTCCGTTTAGCGAGGTAGCTGCACCGCCGACTCCCGCTCCAGGCACGCCGCGAGGCGTGTACATCACTGTGGATCGGATAATCCGGTTCCGTGAAACACCAGGTTGTCGAGGTTGTACCGGGCGCACCCGGTACCATACCCCCGAATGTCGACGTCGCTTTGCGAGGCTGGTCGATACGGAGAAAGCCGAGGAGCGCTCCAAGCGCTCGGCTGCCGTCGAGGTAGAGCGGTCACTTCGCCCCTCCGAAGCGATTGACCCAGTTCATGCAGCCAAGGAGGCACGTCTCGAAGAAGACGATGCCGACCTTAAAAAGGCACTTGAGCTTTCCCGCCTTGAAAAGGCAGATCTATCTGATCCCGATGAGCTCGAGAAAGCACTGAGGGCATCCGAAGAACATGATGATGCTCTTCGCGGCAAGCCAGCTCCGTCTCGGCCAGGGGGGATTCCGCCAACCGCGCCGCCTGCAGCCACAACTGGCGCGGCGGTAACAACAACCACTGCAACCTCCACGTCACTCACGTGCCACGTAGCCGACTCCTTCACCAAGAGGGAGGCTCGGACTCTGCCTGTGTTCGGCATGCCATGTTCCAAAAGGGAGCCATGCAAAAAGTTTTCCGTAGGGAATAAGAGGGCCCGCAAGCGTATCGCGCGGGGAAATTCTATGCCTGTAATGTTCGAGTATGCATGTTCAAGTGACTCCACCATGGGAGCAGTGCATCAAGCATTAGGCATTCCCCACGTGAGACTGGCTAAAGAACACATCGATCTTGAAACCAATGAAGGGGATGAGCAACTGACCGCTCAGTTGCAGTCTTGTAGCAAGCCTAACATGTGGGCGGCCATTCCGTGCACCTCCGGGTCGCCATGGCAAAGGCTAAATGTCCATAGGTATGGCAATAAATACAAGCAGTATCTCCGTGCACAGGTTAAAAGGTCGGAGGCGTTGTTCGCAAGGTTCACAAAGCACGCCGAAGTGGTGATAGAACAACAGGGTCACGTCACTTTCGAGTGGCCTCGCGACTGCGAGGGATGGGAGCGCCCCGACGTAAAGGCATTCTTCGAGAAGCATGCGTCTCGCTTCCACTCAGTGACTTTCCACGGGTGTGCAGTAGGTCTAACTGACAAGGAAGGGACTCCCATCAAGAAGCCGTGGCGTCTCATGACCACATCCAAGGAACTTCATGATGGGTCCCAGAATAGGACATGCCCCCACCAGCACTCCTTCAAGCACGCACAGGCCGCAGGTAGCAACACTGCACGCACCGCCTTTTATCCACAAGAGATGTGTAAGATAATCGCTAGTGCGTTATACCCGCATGTCGCAGCACCATGCGCGCCTGCAATGCCAGTCCAGGCTGTCACCGTGCAAGAGGAGCATCGGGAAAAGGAGCAGTCCTTGAAGCATACCTCCGCACTTTCGGGTGTTGGGGCTCTCGCGTCAGTGGTTGAATCAGATCCAACATCCCGCAGATTCTTTGAAGAACTCTTTGACTTGGATAACCTCGTTAGGGAAATTCAGGGAATTACAAAGCAGGAGACTTCTCCCGACATAGCCGCCATGGTCACAAAACTTCTTTCACGTTCAGAGATGCTTGCCTCGTCCGAGGCATTGCAGGCCGTAAAGGAAGAAGCAGACGGCTTAAGTAATGCGGGAGTCTGGGATCTCAGCACCGTGAGAGAGCAAGGAGAGGTCGCTGCTGAAGCGCGACGGACGCACACTAAAGTCCACTTCGGGCAACTAATGACCATCGCCTCCATCAAATTCTTTGAGCTAGCAAAGCATCTACAGAAAATGAAGGGGCGTATAGTATACCGAGGGGACTGTGCGCGGGACGAATATGGGGCGGCGGCCGTTTATCAAGAACTCGGCGCCAACCCTACGTCCGTTCAGGGTTTGAACAACTGCCTTGCCTACGGCTCACTGCCAGGTCACAAAACCACGGCGGCAGACGCCGTAAAGGCATATATCCAGGCCCTACTTCGATCTCAACATCAGACGTGGATATCGTTGCCGCCGGAACTTCGTCCGAAGTGGTGGAAAGAAAAGTTTATAAAACCGGTAGTCCTTCTAGTAAAAGCACTCTACGGTCACCCCGACGCGGGGGGGCTATGGGAGCAGCACTTCAAGAAGATCTTGAAGGAGCAGACCGGAGAGGAGATCCAAGAATTTCCAGGAAACTTTTACTTCCCCTCAACCGGCTTAATGCTATCCACTTATGTGGATGATCTAACACTTTCAGGGCCGGCAGAGCAGCATGACCCCTTTTGGGAAAAGCTGATGTCATGTGTTGACATTGAACCCCCAGAACCGATATATCGTGTTTTGGGAAGGAATCATGTCATCATTAACGCCCCGAAGTGCGAGCCTAATCCAGCCGAGAGCGCAGCCTTTGGCGCGCTGTCCAACGCAATGGCTTTTGATATGGTTGACTATGCCAAACAAACTGTAGATTTGTATGTCTCCATTTCAGGTCAGCCGATTAGTAAACTCCGCAAGGCATTGACCCCATTCTGTCCAGAAGGGTCATTGCCAACACAAGATGATGCCGAAGCAGGTGAATTGAGCTCAGCCGCTTGTAAAATCTTGATGAAGGCCTTGTGGTTGGGACGTCTTGCACGTCCAGACATAATCAAGCCCATCGGGGATCTTGCAACGTGCGTTCAAAAATGGTCGCGTAATAATGATAGGCAGTTGGCTAGGCTAATAGCTTACATTAACACGACCACAACGCACAGGTTGGTTGGCACAGTTCAAGACGATCCCAGAGAGCTGCATCTTGCGCTCTACGTCGACGCTGACTTTGCAGGAGAAGAGGGGGCCAAGTCCACATCAGGGGGGTTTCTCGCCCTGAAAGGCCCGAATTCCCACTTCCCCTTAGCATGGATTAGCAAGCGCCAGACTTCTGTGTCGCGTTCCACTACAGAAGCAGAGATTGTGTCGTTAGCATTTTCTTTGTATCAGGAGGGACTCCCGACTCTTAGTCTGTGGGATCGACTATTGGGTCGCCCAATGACCCTAAGGATCCATGAAGATAATCAAGCTACTATTCTGGTTGCAAGGAAAGGGCACTCCTCGAAGTTGCGTGCAATTTCTAGGACACATAGGGTTAACCTAGCATCCCTTGCAGAACAGTTACAGGAAGGCACTGGAGTAGAGCTTGAATATGTGAAGACCGATTTCCAAGCTGCCGATATCTTTACCAAGGCTTTGCCTCCGCATAAGTGGGATCACGCCTTGAGGCTCCTGGGAATGCGCACAGATCTCTCAGAAGAGCTAGAAGATACTCGATTCAACATCAAAAAGTAGAAAGTCATCCCGAAGGTAGTGCTGTGAGTACTAAGAGTGCCAAAATATCCTTCATCCTTGTAAAGCCTTGATGTCCGGGAGCAGCGTATCGCGCTCCAAAACAAAAGCTTACCCTGCCTTAGTGCACACGGCGAGGGGGGAGTCAAGAAATAACGACCCCTTAGCCCCCAAAGGCATGGTAACTTGCCTAGTTGTGTGGTCACTGATGTGAGGTTTGCTTGAGGCCACTTTGGTTTAGGTTGAGGGTTGCATGTCATGACAGACTTGTCGAACGGCAAACGCCGTTTGGCTCAAGCGCACATCAAGAGAAACAGCGCTGAGTGCGGAACGAGAGTCTAGGAACCACCCCCTGAACCGCTGAGGGATTAACCACGGTCAATCCACCTCTTTTTGTTCAGGGCGCAGCCTTCGGCGCGCGTTTGGGGTTTCTTGCTCTTTTGATTGGGAAACCCCAAAATTGCGTCGGAGATCTGATCGGGGACTGTTTCGACATCACTTAGGCGACTTAGGTCGGGGCTTTTTGGTCACCAAGCACTTCGCAAGAGGGTCCCCATCATGTCGGGATTTGGGTTTGTCTCAAAATTGGGCCCAACATGATTGGTTTCCTTTGAACTTCCCCTTCAACCAAAAACAAAAGGTCCATGAAGCTCGCACATGTCTCTTTTTTTTGAGGCTCCTCCTTTTTTGGCCTGCTTCTTTTCCAGGGAAACATCCTTTTCTGGTCAGAAAAGACCGAGAGACCCGGATGGGGTTTCGAACCAACGTGGGCTTTCCAAATTTGCAAAGCCAAGAACTACGCGCCGGACGAAATGGAGCTGATCGAGTTCGACTCCAACACTGCGCACTCCTCAGGCGGGCCGACACAAAACCCGCCGCGGGGTGAGGAATGTCTCGACGGGATTTGGCTGAACTGAGCGAGACGGGGATTTTGTCCGTGGATTCGGAGTTTCTGCGTTGATGTCAACGGGGAAACTGGGATTCTGGGATTTGTTTGGGTGCTTTGGATGTTTTTGGGCGGCGCGTTTCTTAGGTGTTCTCTGTGACACCTGGGATATTCGCCCAATTTGAGGGTTCGCTTGACAAATCCGCCTGTGAGGATAGCGCAAAGCCTCTCGGCTTGTTTGTCCCATGTCCGGGTTTTTTTGGGTGGCTTTTTATTTGGACACCAAAAAGGATCCATTCCCTTGGCGCACCCATTCGAGAGCAAGGCAAGCTTTTGGAAGGTCACGCCTAGTCCTTACTTGTTGTTATTGGTTGATGAGCAAAACAGCGTTAGTTGGGAGCCCTTGTGATTGTGTAGGGAAATGTGATGTCCACGATGAGTTTGCTCTTCTCAGTCACTGCGAAGGCACCATTTGGCGGCACTGGCTGCTCTGAAACAGACTTTTCAGGAAACCCTGAATTGGTAATTTGGATTGGTGGTTTAGATCTGGATTTGAACTCCCGTGTCCTGTTGACAGCAAATGGGAATACCATACAGTCCAAATCCCCAAGCCAAAGCACCAGTGAGCCGGAAGCTGATTGAGTCTCAGGCCGGCTTTGGAGCCGGGGCGCGTGTATGTACGTGGGCGGCAAGCTGTGGGCGACTCGACAAGAACGGATTGGTTAAGAATTCCCCCACACCGGAAAAAGCCAAGCCCGGTGTTTTTTTTCTTCGCGCACAAGGGTTCAAGATTCAGGGTCAACATGGGTTCAAGCCACGAATCTAGCAACCAAAAGCAAAGGTGGGTTTGGCTTTCACGCCAAATGCTCCCTGAATTCCTGGGCTTGAGTAATTGTTTGGGACCACTTGAGTGGTATGCAAGAAGTTCAGACTTGCTTTGGCCAATCCACTCGGGAAGTGAGACAAACAAACCCTGGTTTTTCTTCAAAGGGAAGCAAACAAGCGCCGTCTCAACAGTGCACACGGCACGGGCAGTGAGAATACGACTCCCGTCCCTGAGAAATGGAATGACATAAAAGCCATGCCCTAGGGTTCCTTCAAGGGAATGCCGTGCATTCCCAACACCCTGGTCATTCCCTGAGCGCCAGCCACTTTTTGCGGGCACCTTGCTTGTTGGTTTTCAAGAGAAAGCCAAAGGAGCACCAAAGCTTTCCAGTTTAGGGCCAGCCATATCCTGAAGACAAAGCCATTTCGCGCCTCGAGCGCGAGCAGTCCCGTGGCTATTCGATGTTCACTGATGCCCTTCGAGAGGGTCGGACAGTCATGGGAGTCCCGGCTGCTGAATCATATTGAATCATTATGACTTTGGTTGGAAGTACGTGTGAGCTGCCCGCTCAAGCAGTCCTTTTCAACTGCATTTGATGTACAAACGGCTTCATCGGCCATGTAATCTTCGTTGTATCCTTCCAAATTGCAACGCACTCATGAATCGTGCGTGTCATCCTAAACTCTGGCAGGAAGAACCCGAACAAGGCTTGGGAAATGACATGTGCTCAAGCATGCAAATGGTCCACCTAAGGGTTCAACTGCTTAAAACTCGTACCAGGAAGGATGTCTAAGTGGGTCCGCCTCAAAATGCTGAACTTTTGGATGGATTTATATTATGGAAACTCACCAAGTATTCCTACCATCAGAAGCCCGCGGGTGGTGTGGTCAACTTTTCCAGTGTCGGTGGACGAACTCCAAGTTTCCCACTCCCCCCTCCCCCCCTTGACAAAAAACCAAATATTCCATGTCCTCTGATGAAACCTTTGTCATTTTCAGTGTGCACGGCTACAAGTTTTAAAAGTACCCTTAAAAGTGGGTGGACACGAATGCCCAAAAGATGTCCACAGGGTTTGGTATGGATTTTTGCTTCACTCCCACAGCGAGCGCTGAGGAAAATAACCCGGGCTCCTCCGATTACAGCTACGTGAGCGGGCGGTCGACCGCACGCATGTCCGGGCGCTTCATCATGACGAGGACCAAGGCGCGCTGGTTACTCTAAGTGGCTACCAATGGGCGTGGCTCAAAATTAAAGAGCTAGGGTTACGCAGGTGTTGGTCCATGTTTCCACGTACCAGGGTTCCATTTTGGTACTGGTTTTTTGAGCCACGGCCAAATGGAACCAAGGACTAAAAACTGCGTATCCCTAGCTCTCTCAAATTTGAGCCACACCCAACTCTCACTTGCCCAAAGCCATCGACCGGATCTGACCTTTTTTGGTTTTCCAATGTTGATCCTTCTTTTTTAGTCATGGCTCCAGAAGGTGATTACTTGTTAGGTCTGACTGAGAACTGGTGGTGCGGATTAGGGGTTAAGCGAATCGGCAGTGCCTGATTTGTGATTGAGGAGCGGTTGTACAAAATTCTAGGGGTACCTTCCCCATTCTTTCCAGTAATCCATCTTTCTACAAAACCTCCGGAAAGCCAGGGAAAATAGCTGGTTTTTGAAAAGAACGATGGTTGAAAAGAATGGAAAAGGAATCAACCCCTAGAAAAATGCACAAAAAGGGCACCCCGTTCCTTTGGCCAATGAGGGGCCAAGAGAAACCAAGAGAAACCGAGTCTTGCGAAGAGGGGCCAAGAAAAACATAGGGGCCAAGAAAAGCATAGGGGCCAAGAAAAGCAAGGGCGGCCAAAGAAGACAAAGGGCCCAAGAACCAGCCAAGGCGGAAGGCTCATGCGTTGGAACCACATGAGACGATTTTCGAACACCACATGAAACCAAAATGAAACCCAACTTTCTGGAAGAACAAGGGGGTCAAGAAAGACAAAGCACCCAAGAAAAGCAAAGGGGCCAAGACAAACAATGCCAAGAAGAGCAAGGTGAAAGGCTTGTGCATTGGAGCCACAAGCCACATGAAGCCGAATGACCGCAACATGAAACCCACTCAACCCCACATGAAACCAAATGGACATGCACCCATTTTTGCAGCCCTTTCCCATTTTGACTTGTATCTAGGAGGCCAAAGGGCTGAACAAAGTCCTGTACATGTGTGTAGCGTCCAGGTCTTCACATTGGAAGCCTCGCCTGCATTGGAGCCTATTGGTAAGTCTCCTGAGTGGGGCAACCGGCTTACCTGACGCGGGGAAGCCGCGTCGCCAAAATATAAAGCCACGGTTTTCTGGGGACGAAGCCTCAAAAAAGCGCGTGTCACTTCCGGGTTCCTAAGGGCATATTTCAGGTAGCCTGGGTCTTCGCCTGCAGGAAACCACATGAAAGGAACGGGACACCGACTGACTCAGTTGTGGAGGGGTCAAAAAAGCTGAGCCCTGCTGACTGATGCAACCGATGCAAACCATATTAAACCAAAGGAAGACCACACGAATCCGACCGACATCTTGAAACCAACCGAAACCAACCGAAACCCACTCATTCTAGAAGAACAAAAGGTTCAAGAAAGAATCAAGACCAAGATCTCGGTCCTGTGCATGTTTTTCTAGGGGTTGATTCCTTTTCCATTCTTTCCAACCATCCTTCTTTAACCGAACACCGGATCCGTTTTCCCTGGGTTTCAAAGGTTTTCTAGAAAGATTCGGATCCCTGGGTTCAGAATGGAATTGGAAGGTAGCGCTAGAAGTACACTGAGCAATGACCGAAACACCCCCCAAGAGCTGCTTGTTTCTCTTGCCCGCTCAGGTCTTCGCCTGCAAGAAGGGCTTCCTCTTCTGGGGCGCCCACTACACCGCGCGGCTGCCGCACCTGGCCCTCGAGGGCTACGAGGCCCACGACGTCTCCCGCAGCTCCTCGCAGCTGGGGGACACCTACATGCGGGGACCCCGGAGCCGGGGTGTGCCGTCGGGTGTCAGATCCATCCTCTTGGGCGAGGGCGCCGGTTTCAGTGCCCTTTGGTTGAACATTGTTTGCGCGCGGTGTCCCGTTTTTGGGGGGAACTCCTCAAAGATGGGTTTGAAGGGAGGCCTGTTTCCGCTCTGGCGGGAACGAACCCTCCTCGAAGTTTTTTTTTTTTTGAGGAAATCATGAAGGACACCAGCCAGCCATTTTGGGGTTTCAGCGTTCTGAGAAACACCCAACAGAACGTCTTTTTTATTTTTTGACAAAGGGCACTGGAGTCCAGGAAATCCGGAAATCTGGGAGATCTGGGCTTCAGGGTTGCATGAAGGGGCTTGCTGGGCCACCTCGATGCACCCCCCTCCGCTCTGTCTTGGGCCCCTTGCATACTCGGAAGGTACCAGGAAGGGAGTTGTCCGGGGAATGGAATCGGAGCTTCGCATATTTTTTTTTTGCAGTTTCATGGGCGGAGGTTGTTTGGCGCACGCCTCGGTAGAGTCGAAACGGGTTCCTTGCCATAAACAGGTGAGCCACGTGCTCAAAACCCGGGTAGATGAAGGTTAGTAAGGGACAATCCCCTTGCCATAAATAGCTGCGGAATTCCGCCTTCTTAATTCTTGAAGCATGGTTTTGGGATTACGACCATTTTAATACCGGGTTTTGATTATGACTCAGGTGTGGAGGATGTGCGCGCTTTGGATTGACCACGTGTTTTGGATAGCGGAGCTCGTGGATAGATCGCTTAGTTACCGGGAATCGATTGTGTTTCTGAATTGGATCTGTCCCAGCACAACCAGTTCCTCCCGGCTTCCTTCTGGCAAAGCAATCCCAGAAAGGTTGGCAACTCGAAAAGGGTTTGACCATGGCTCGTACTCATTCGAGTGCGTGAGTCTCTGGTGCCCTGCGGAGACCCCAGGCTCAATACGTCACATGCCCTTAAAGCGGGCCCTTTGTTGGAAACCAGGTGGATCCACAAAAGATTATCCCCCAAAAAAAGAGTGGCTTCACCTCCAAACAACCGGGGGTATCGATTTTTTTTGGTGGTGAAGGGGGGGTAGATGTTGGTTGGCCTTTGCTCTGTGCCAAACTCTGAAGCTAAAGAAAGCGGTGGATTTGGGGGATTTCGAGCGAAGGGGTCGAGGTCTTCGCTGAGGTTGAAGGGTGTGATCAGCGCCCATACGGGCAACATGGCGTCGGACCTTCCGACGAAAGCAGATGGCTGCTGGGCAACACCGCAAGCCATCTCAGCGCGCAAAAGCGAGGGCCAGGGAAAGTAGATGGTACCTGGTTTCATGGGGCGGGGTGGATAGCAAGCAGAAAGCATATAGCCAGCTTAGAGCCAGAAGATCGATTTTGCGCTGCTCATCCCCAAGCTAAACAGTTTCCCTCTGACCTTCTTATTAAAACCAAAAAGGGTACCCGCAAGAAGATCTGAAGCTTCCAAATACTTCCCTGCAGAGTAATGCCTTTGGACCCCGAAATTGGATCCTCAACCTTTGTGCTGTTGACCAATGTGCGTGGCGCTTGAATTGCACTGATGGGGCACATGGGGCAAGCATGATCAAGCATGGAAGAGCACCGCAAAGGGCCTCCGTCGAATATGTGGCTTGCCTTTTTTGCCATTGGGTCGGATCTTTAGACTTCAGCTTGTCGGGAAACATCTTGCAAGGGGGTTCCCTTGCACCCACCAGATCTTTGTTTTTCCTCACCCACCCAACTCGTTCCACCCCCCCCCCCCCCAAAAAAAAAAAAAAACAAGGAACAAAACAACCGCCGCGGCTTGGGCCGTTGCACAAATCTCCGGGCCATCAGGCTTCGAGCTCTACGACACCGACATGCAGACCATCCTGGCGGATCTCACCTTCCGCAACTTCGACCGCCCCGGGGACGTGGCGATCATGGCAGCTCGGCTCTGGGTTTCGCGGGGCTGCGAGGCATTCCTTGGATTGGACCGGCGGAAAAAGTGGCACAGGTCTCAAGATTGCTTTGGGGGAGGGGCTTCCCCAAGATTTTTGGAATTTAGAGGGTGGCTTGATTTTTTTGGGGGGAGAATGACCTCGGATCTCCTTTAGTCTCCGTTTGCGGGAGGCGATGCTGGGGTTGTGCAGTGATCTGGGTGTGTCTGGTGTTTTGGGGGTATGCTTTTGGTAGTGAGTTATTGGCTGGGTTCCAGCCGTGTTGAGGCTCGCTTAAAGGGAAACCAACAGGAGAGCCAGCATTTTTGGCGGCCTTACTTTGGCGACCCATTTCGAGGATTTTGCTCTGAATGGCAAAGAACATGTCGTTGCGTTGCACGGAGGACATGACGCACAGCAACATCTACAAGCCCCAGGGCATGTTCCACTCTCGTGCCATTTACTTTGAGGGCACGCCCGTGGCGCAGCGATTGCGCGCCTCGGAGCTGTCAGATGAGCAGATGGAAGCCCAGATCCAAAAGGCTATCCTTTCTTTGTGGGGCATAGTCAAGTGATATCCGAATTCCCACTAAAAGGGGACACCACCCCAAGTCTCGATCAGGGGTTTGTTAATCCAGGCTGTATTCATCCGGGGTTAACATTGAGGGGGCCGCTCAATTTCGGGTGGATAGTTGAAGTATGTTGAAGTTGAATCTCAAAGCAGCCCCATCTCGAAATGATGGATCCCTTTGAGTTGATCTTCACATGTTGAAGAGCAACCAAAATGGACGCCCACCATTTTTGGGGACCTATCTTAAGAAACACTCAGATGAGCCGGTTGGGTCCTTGAAGTTTAGCAAAACGCAGCCCCAGCAGATAGTTTTGTGTGGATACTGTGACCATTTTGATTTGTTGTGCCACTTTTGGGTAGGGGCCCTGAGTTTTTTTTTCTCCTAGGTTTGGCGGGGCTGGGTCGTGGAAGGGTCCCCGGTCAGCCGGTCTGTTGGTCGGTTGGTTTTTGCTTGCTTTTGTGGCTTTTGGCGGTGGTAGCTTTGGCTTTCCACATCCTCAGCTAGCATCACCGCCAGGGTAGTGGTTGCAACCCAGCTTGAATCAGAACTAAACAAATCCCCGAACCGCCAACAATAATCCTTAAACAAGCCCTAAGCAAAGCCCTATACCAACCTAACCCCACCCGAAACCAATCCTAAACCAACCCTAAGCAAACTCTGAACTGCCACTAAACCCAGCTGCAACCGAAAATGAATCCCCACCCTCAACCTACACTCAACCCGCACTAAAGAAACCCTACAGAGCCTAAACCCAGTAAACCAACCCTAGCCAACCCTAAACAAGCCCGAAACAAACCCTGAACCAAAACCTAACCCCACCATGTTCCAACCCGAACCAACCCCAAACAAACCCCGAACCAAACTTAAACCCACCCTTTTCCAACCCTAACCAACCTAAACCCACCCAAACCAACCCCAACAACGCTACCCAACCCTAAACAAACCCTAAACATACTTGGAACCACACAAAAACCAATCCGAAACCCACTTAAACCAACCCTACACTCACCCTGAACCAGCTTTAAGCTACCTCAAAAGCAACCCGAAACACAACCTGAGCAACCCCGAACTTACCCTAAACCCACCCCCAACCAACCCTAAACCCCCGCTAAACCTAGCCAATGCCACAACCAAATCCACCCTAAACCCACACCTATACCAACTCTAAACAAACTCTACTAAATCCTAGAGCAACCCTACACCAACCCTAAACCAGCCCCAAACCCACCCTAAACCCACCCTAAACCCACCCTAAACCAACCCCAAACCAACCCCAAACCAACCCTAAACCCACCCTAAACCAACCCCGAACCAACCCTAAACGCACCCTAAACCAGCACTAAACCAACCCTAATCCTGGCCAACCTAAACCAACCACAAGCCCACTCAAAAGAAACCCGATGCCCGCCCAAACACACCCTCAACAATGGCTTGTTCGAAAGCTTTTCTGGGTGAGGACCGCTCCGCGGAACCTAGGATTTAAACCCGGTCTTGATCTTGACTCAGATGTTTCGCGCCTTTTTTGTTTGGCCTTCTTCGTTTTTCTTTTTGAAACTTGTGATACTGATTCTCATGTGTCAGCGCAGCTCGCCCGCTTTTCACATCTTTGTTTGACGGTTTTTATCCTTTTGATACGCATGGCCCGTGTGGTTTGACCAGGCTCTTTCACGCAACTTATTTGAAGCTGCTAGCTGCTACCAAAAGTTGCCAGGTCGATCAGATATCTTCAACGAGGTGGTCCGCTCGAATGCGGTTTGTAGTGAGTAATGGGGTCACTCGCCACATCCCAGTGTCGGGCAAGACGTTTGCATGCATCCAAGCGCCACAACTTAAACGGGAGTAGTCAGCCTGGTGATTGCCCACGACCGATCGCCATAGTAAGTGGGTTATCGTGGTTGTTGTAGTCAGAAGAGAGCAAACACGAAGTGCACAAGCGGCCAGGTCACGTCTTTCGCCTGGCCTGTGAGACTCTTGGCTGCTTTGGTTGGACATGGTTGTAAGCTTTTAGCTTGGTTTTCCCTCACATCTAAAACCTTTAGTTGTTTTTCCCAAACACCCACAAGAAGTAAAACCTTTTAAAGAGCACTGCGTGAGAAGTTGGGTCATCTTTCCGGATTTGGATGTGGATTTGAAGCCCTGGCTTAGAGGGTAAATGGGACACCTCCAGAATACCTCCAAACCAAGAAATCCAAAGCACGCTTGCGGGCTGGGTCAAGACCTTTGGGTTGTCCAATGGCTGTTCCATGGGGCGCCAGAGGAGGGAGCAACCCCACTAAACTGGGTGGCTGTTGACCGCTGACTTCGACCCCTAATTATCTGCCTATTTTGTAGCTCGCTCGCCGATTCGGGGCTATAACGAGCGAAAGCTACGACAGAGGTCCTTTACCTGGGGTTCCCTGAATTCCGCTGTTGGAGATATGGTTAAAAAAAATGCAGAATCATTACTCAGCTCCCTTTTCAACTGGGATTTCCTTTCTTGGGGGGCGAGGAACCCCAATAACGAGTGATCGACCTTCAAACTTTGTTTGGCTTGGCAAAAGGAGCAACCCGCGGTAGGCTTCACTTTTGGCGACTCCATAAAGCCCGGGGGTTCCCCTGGGGGATGAACCACTGGAATTTAGGTCTACCCTGAAGTAGTAGGGGCATTGTACTTAGTGGTTAGTAAGCCTGTGTACAACCCACCTACGCTTACAACTCTCCAAGGTGGGGTAAAGCCAGGCTTATGAACCACTTGGAGGTACAACGCCCCTTCAAGCAGTCTACCCCGAGGAGCTACCACTCGGATACCTGCACCCGGAACTGCAACTTTTGCCCCGGCACCGCCGGCTCATCGCAGATCGCCAATATCGTCGATGCCGCCTGGATGGGACGCCCTCTTTTTCTTGGGAGGTCTCAGGGGGGTTGGGGGCTCCAAAATGACCGGGAAGTATGGGTCTGTCTCTCTTTGTTCTTGTTTTTTCTCCGGGGGGGGGGAATTTTGAATGAAAGGGAAACCAACAGGCACTCTGTTCCTTTCTTTTCGGCGCCCTGTTCAACCTGTTTTTCTCCTTTTTTTCCGGTTGGTTTGAAGGGACGCCGCAAGGAAAGCCAACCATTTTTGGGGGTCCCCTATGTTGACGCATAGCCCACATGAAGCAGGATCTGAAGATATGACTTTCTGTGTACCCGACGGGGCGCAAGCCGAAGTTTGATCTCAATGGTCCAGATGGATGCATACTTGGATGCTCGGCCCAGATGCTCGGGCCAAGTTAGTAAGTTGTTAGCAACCGAAGTTATAACCCGCGTGTAAGTCTCTCCAAGGGGAGTTAACCTTGTTATTGGTGGTTCTTAGCCCAGGAGGCGAACGACTTATTAACTTGGCGAATCGAACATCCAAGTAAACTGGGCTCGTTGTGGGCAGCTTTGGAATCATTTCATCCCATGACCCATTTCCTATGCATTTCTGATGGCGAGCTCACCGATTCGGAGGTGAAACCAGCGTAGCATCTATTGCAGGTCCCGGGTTTGTTCTAAGCAATTATGATTTCCAAAGACATGCAATCTGATATAACAATAAAGGTTGACACGATATAACAATAAAGGTTGACACCCTCCCCCCGGCCCCCTGGCGCTCCCCTTCAATCCCAGGTTTTGATCATCCGGGCTGGGATGTCGATTCCGCCCGCCAGAATCAGTTGGCACCTGAACCGGGCGGGTTAGCACCTTTGTTTAGTAGCACATGGAAACATGGACCAAAACCCGCGTTGTTGTTTGTTCTTCTTTTTTTTCTTCTTCTGGTGGTTTAACTTTGACCCACAGCCAGGTCCTTTTTAGGTTAGCTAGGTTAGCTAGGAGAGCTAGGCAGGGCTCCTCAAAAGATACATTTTGCAACCATTTGACCATAAGACTCAGGCGGACGGCTCCCTCATCGGCTGGTCTGAGCCGGCCATTCTGGGGGCCGACGACACGGACGCGGAGACGGACGGGCGCACCAACGAGTGGTGGCGCGTGGAGGACGGTGGCCTGGGCTGAGACAGGGGTGCTGCTGCTTCTTCTTCTTTTTTTTTGGGGCGCGCCACTTCTTTTTGTGGAGGGCGCAAACCGTATTTTTGTTTGCCCGGTTTAAATGGAGCCGCTCAAACTTGAGCAGTTGTGGCTGTTCCTTTCAGTTTTCTTGGCCTAGGGCTTCTTTTTTAAAGTAGGGCTGGTCCCCTTGGTTGGTTGGCTGGCTGGCTGGCTTGCTGGCTGGTTGGTTGGTGGGTTGGCTGGCTGGCTGGCTGGCTGGCTGGCTGGCTGGCTGGCTGGCTGGCTGGTTGGCCGGCAATATCTCCAGCATCACCAGCCTCACTTGAACCTGGAGTTGCCTATTGGCTCTGATTGGGCGCAGTTGGGAGTTGCTCGAGGCTGGTCTAGCCGGCTTATTTGGGGTGGTTTGGGGTTGATTTAAACGAAGCGAATGTGAGTTGCTCGGGGCTGGTTTAGGCTGGCTTAGATCTTTATGAAGATGGGTTTTGGGGTTGTTTTTGTTTTGGGTTTGCGACAACGCTCCAAACTAATCCTAAACAAGACCAAAACTCATGTAACCATGCATAAAGCGGCAGACCCAACACAGCTCCAAGCCAATCCTAAATCCACCACCCTGCACCCGTAACAGCAGCCTGTACCCCTCCCCTCTTAGCGCCCACCCGCAAAATAGTGGACACAAGGTTTGTTTGCCCAGTGGTCTAACAGCTAACCTACCATCATGGTCTGAGAGCTGGGTGAGCTCGAGGCTGGCTGGTGGCATTTTCTGCTTGAATCCCGTCGCCGAGCTATCGCCTTTCTACCAAGCAGCACTAAGCACCAGCTGTTGTATTTGAATAATGCTACGCTTCTTTGAGCGCGTATGCTCCTCATCGACTGTACTTGCACAGGATCACTTCTACAGTGACTCCTCTGCTCACACTCAGTCTACCAGCGCGGTTACTTACCTCTGAGGATGAAGAGAATCTTCCGCTGCTAAAGAAATTGCCTCGCAGGCTTGATGAAACTCTGCAGCAGAAGTTTGTCTGAAGAGGCAGTAAACCAAGTTCGACATGTCCATTGTTGCCCACTGCTGGCGCACATTTATACATTGTGGCGCAGTCAATAGCCTGGCTCCTGCTCCACCGTCTTGCCTCCGTCTTACCTCCGTCTTGCCTCCGTCTTGCCACCGTCTTGCCACCGTCTTGCCACCGTCTTGTCCCTGCTCCTGCTCCTGCTCCTGCTCCTGCTCCTGCTCCTGCTCCTGCTCCTGCTCCTGCTCCTGCTCCTGCTCCTGCTCCTCCTGCTCCTGCTCCTGCTCCTGCTCCTGCTCCTGCTCCTGCTCCTGCTCTGCTGCTCCTGCTCCTGCTCCTGCTCCTGCTCCTGCTCCTGCTCCTGCTCCTGCTCCTGCTCCTGCTCCTGCTCCTGCTCCTGCTCCTGCTCCTGCTCCTGCTCCTGCTCCTGCTCCTGCTCCTGCTCCTGCTCCTGCTCCTGCTCCTGCTCCTGCTCCTGCTCCTGCTCCTGCTCCTGCTCCTGCTCCTGCACTTCTTCTGCGCAACTTTTTGCGGATCACTGGTCTTGCAGCTTAACCACTTTGCTGCTGCTGCACTTCAGCAAGCTATGACAAGTCTCCAAAACTGGAGTCTGTCATCCTCAGTGCAACAGCTGTACATGCAATTGTTGCAGTCTAAGGTTATTCAAAGACATGCAATCAGGTTTGATTCTGGAAACTGTCTCAGAGCAGCTTATTCTCCTGTGTGCTTAGCATCCAGGTGGACAGTTTCTTTTTGAGGCCCAGCACCCCATTTTTTGTGAGGGCTGCCTGACAAAGATGCCACTCATTTTGGGGGGTCGCAGATTTGTTTGCTTGTCTTTTTCGAACAGCGGATGCAACCCTGCACAAAGTACCACATACTGCCATTCATCAGCGGATCAATTCATCGATATCCATGCATCTCTCCATCGTTTTGTTGTCGATCTAGGTGCCCCGCGCACTCAGTTTGACACCCGGAAAGCCCAGGCTGCACCCAGAACACGGACTGGGGCTTCTGGCTGTGCCCCACACATGGGCACCGGCTCCTTGGTAGCACAGTGTTTGATCTGCCATGCTCAAACAACAGGAATGCATCATATGGCTGTGGGTCAAAAGCAATGGTGCCATCTTGGGGTAGGCGGCACCACCCATTTTAGTCTATTTTAGTGTGGGATGTTCACTGGGGGTACGGGCTTTTGATCCATGGCCATATACCACCATGTACCATTTGAGTTGAAAGGACCTCTATCAAACGAGGTAGACACAATCACTTTCGGAGCCATGTTAGCTGACAATTCACCAGCTGGGGTTGTGCAGGTTGGAGCCTTTTGTGACCCGTTTGCCTTTTGGTGAAAAACATTTTTGGTTTCCATATGTTTTTGAGCCACGGCGGTGAAAATCATTTTGGTTTCCATGGCCACTAGAGTGCCCAAAATTTCGACACATCGGCCTGTACAGCCGGCACGAAGCTTTGCCGTGTCGAAGCCCCTCCAAAGTGGCGGACGTCTGACATCCAAATGTACTGTACGCAGGAGCTATGGTCGATTCCAAACCTCGTGTGTGTGTGTGGGTGTTTTTTGGCGGTCTTTACCTTTTTTTGGTGGTTCTGTGCGTTTTTTTTGGTCATCTTTCATGGGCTCAGCAACCAAAAAGGTCTGAGTTGGATCAACGTAGGTTTGCATGAGGCAAACCTGGCTTTAGGTTGCCAGTTCCTGAAGTGACAAGTCAAAGAGATGGCCGCTTCGGCATACTGCAAACTCCGTGTATTGTTGATACCGTGGATGGTTGCGAAATCCATTTCGCACCGCCTTGAGAAACCCTGGAATGATTGGATTCCCCCGCAAATACCAATCCACAGTATGCTCCAAAAAATGTCTTGTGGCTTAAGATAATTCACCAGACCTCACTGTTTTTTTCATCAACCTCTACACCTATTCACCCCTTGCCAAGGCCGTTTTTTCAAGGTGCACAATCTCAGCTCATCCAGGGATAGCCTCTCCTTAGAGCCCCCCCCGGAACGTCCACAGCTGAGGTCTGTGGTGAGCCTTTTCCTCATGAAGGGCATTTTGTCCACGGCCGCCCAGCGTATCAGCTCGAACACTGTGGTGGGGATGCTGTACCACTTCGGCAGAGCCTTGGCCTTCGGATGTATCAGCGGTGCTTGCAGCGGTGAATCCAGCCCTTGACAATGCAGACCACCAGCTCCTGGCACCGAAAACACCAACACCCGTAGCTGAAGTGAAAATCAACCCCCATTGTGTTGGTTCCGCCCCGGGGAAATAACAAGGAAAAAACGCCTCTGCTGGCGAGCTTCAGGTGGATCTCCTTTGAGTTGATCTTGTATTTCAGTCGCGACATATGGCTGTGGCTCAAAAAAGCGGTACCAAAATGGAACCCTGGTAAGTGGAAACATGGACCAACACCTGCGTAACCCCTCCTGTTGAATTTTGAGCCACACCCATATGGATCAAGTGATTGCTCTACTCTCATTGCCAGACTCCAAGCTGGTTGCCCTTGGCAACCTTTTGGGTGGGCGTCATTTTTTCCTACCGGGTTTCATCCATCGCTGCGACGTGGATTTTGCCCATCCATAGAAGGGGTGTGTTTAAAACAAAGGCAACACAAAATGGGAGGGGGGGAGTGTTCCCTTGAGCTTTTCTCCAGAAGGACCCAAAACAAGGTATGACAGGGCTTTTTGGAGCCCACACATATATATATATATATATATACATATATATATATATATATGTGTATTAATATACACATATATGACAGTTTTGCATGGCCAGCGTGGCGTTTATTTTTCATTGCACGGTGCAAACGTGATCACAGCCTTGCAGACTTCTACGAATGTGCCACCCCTTGGACTCCAGTCGATTCGAGCGCTCTCACTTCCTGAGTTGATGGACTTTAATTTTTTTGGAAAGACCATTTTAGTGGTAAATAAAAAGTTCAGACTTTTTTTGGCCAGTCAACTTGGGAAGTGAGTATTATTGGATTGTCACGCACACTTTTGATCAAAATGCCACACCCACAGCACGACACCGTCATGATTGTCTTCTGTGCCAGGGGTGGATGTTCACGAGACCCCCCAAAACAGGCGGCTTTCCTCTTGGTTTCCTTTTCAACGCAACCAAAAAGGAGTACCAACTTGAAGAAAGACGCGCCACCCAAATCGCAAAATAGGGGCACCCCCCCAAGATGGGTGGGTTCCTTTTGGTTTCTAAAAAACAAAAAAACACAACAACATCCAAGATGGGCGAGTGAGGGCCCGAGCGGCACTTGGATGTGGGCCTGGCCGAGAGCCCCATGGCCGCTGGGCAAACACGGGGGGCGGATGGATGCGGAATACGTCGCGGAAGCGGCTGGAACGACTGGTGAGACAGCCCACTGAAGGGAGATTTGCCACCATGGGATTTGGTTCTTTCATTATGTGTGTTCTTGTATTATATATTATTATTATTATTATTATTATTATTATTATTATTGTTATTATTATTATTATTATTAAAACAACTGTTTCCGCATGCTTGCTACCCACTGATGTACCTTGCCACCATGACTTTTCTTTTTTTTCTCCTTTTTCCCCCATGCTTGTTACCCACTTGCCTGACGTTCCGAATCGATCGCCCTTTTAAGTAGACGCCAATCCGATTCGCGGGGGATGCCAATCCGAATCCCCAGCTAAGTGGAAGAGGGGGCGGGGGGTGACTACCGAAGCTCTCCAGTGGAATTCCATTTTCCCTTTTCGTGGGAACACTGATTGCGTGTTTGATTCGCAAAGTTGCCCACGTTCAGTGGAGTTGTCCTTGTTACTGGGTTACAACCCAGTTGGCAATTGCCACTTACTAACTTGGCCAAACATCCAAGCAGCCTTGAAGGCGGAATTGGGGTAGCGGAGTGACCCTCAAGTTCCATTGGGTTTCATTTTCCCTCGTGGGAAGACTAGGGAAATGGAATTGGGGGACCCGTCCCCCTTCCCGAGGTATGCCCCACATATTGTAAGGGAACAAGTCAACTCTTTGACATTGATTTCCATGATTTTGTGGTTGAGTGTTGCCTGGTTGACCTGCAATATGGCAGAGTGGGCATCCGCTGCGCCCGGCCAGGTTGAGTTAGTTTATTTTTATGTTTTTCCGCAGTGTCGAGTCTACCTGGAGTCTCCATGACCCTTAAAAAATGGGTCATTCACCCATTTTTAGAAGGTCATGGAGACTCCAGGTACCTTTCAGGGGAGCCCAGGATCCTTGTTTCTTTGCTTGCTGTTCCAGATCCCCTGCAAGCAAAGCGCGCGGGACCAACAAAAGGGAGGTTTGGTTCGTGGCCGTTCGCTGAGGTCTCTGGGATCTGCTGCGACGTCGGATGGTTCCTGCACGTGGACGCAGGCGTGGGCTTGAGTCTCGGGGTGTTGTTTGAAGGCTTGGGCGCGTCTCTTCTTGGGGTACCATCCGTTGGGCTTATTTCAAGGGGGGAAAATACACGCGGGCCGGAACACAACACTCATCTCGCGGGCAAGCCATGTCGCGGTTTGAGACAAGCCCGGCTCGGCCGAGGTATGCCAGTGGAAACCCTTCCCATTCAGTTCGGACATTGTCCTCTTCGGAAAATGGCAAGCCAAGACGATGAGGAAAATTGAGGCGGTGTCTGAGCGGAACGGTTGCGGCAAGGTGGAATCGCTCCATTCTTGTGGGTCTGGACGAGTCTCTTTTTGAGGTTTGTGGTTGTGGGTTTCAAATGAATGAAAGGAACGCCAAAGCCATTTTCGGGTTCCCCCAAAGAGATACCCGGTATGTTGCCAGTCACGTGAAATAGAGGGACCCCCCAAAATGGCTTCGGTTGTCCCGGTTTGGTGAAAAACTGGAGCCTTTAAACAAATATTTGGGTGTGTCTTTCTTTGGAGCTGGTACCTTTGTTTGTGGTTTTAAGCACACCTACCATGTAGGGGGTTCCCCGAGAAAAAAAAACTTCGGGGACCGTCAAAAAGTAACCCAAATAGCAGCTGACAGGATCCTCCTGTAAAGCAGGTAGTTTTTGGATGCATCCTTTAAGGCGCCCCGGTTGTCCTCCAGGCGTTATTTCCCAATTCTGTTCAATCCTTCTTTCTAAAACCAGCTGTTTTGCTCTCGAGATTTTGCTGTGGACTGATTCGGATTTTTGCAAAGAACGGCTGGAAGTTACCTACTTGGGTGTTGGGCCAATCCAGTCAGTTTGTTAGTAACCTTGGTTAGAGCCCGCTTGTAAGTCCCCCGTTCAGTAGAGTTGACCTTGATTTTAGTGGGTTAAGTGGGTTATATAGTTATATCACATCTTCTTGGATGTTCGATTTGCCAAGCTAGCAAGTGGACCACCTAGGTTATAACCCACTGGCAAGGCTAAGTCCACTGAACGGGGGACTTCTTTATAGGTGTCCAACTTTACCTTAGGGAATCCATAACGGGGGGTGGCTAAAGGCGGGGGGTACCATAAAAACGCCCTAAGAAACCTTTGAAAGCGCGAAGGAACCCTAGAAAGCCCTAAGGAACCCGGAGGAACCCTAGAACTCTCAACTACCAATCCCCCCAGAAACAATCCCTCCCCCCGCTTGGGGATTCCCAGAACCGTGGCAATTTGGAGCTAGGCGCCTTGCCGGAGCTGACCATCACCTTGGACCAGATGGTGGATGCCGGAGGCGCGGAAGACGAGTCGCCGGAGTCGGGGGAGTCGGGGGAGTCGCGCACTTCTCTCGGCGGAAACGTTCGTTTTTTTTGGTTTAAATGCGGGGGCTGTGGCTTCAACCTCGCAGAACCTCAACGGGCATGTGAAAATAGCAGGACCCCAAGATATGTTGGTTTTGTCGTTCTGGGATCTTTTAAAGCCGAGGCGAGAAGCTGGAAGCGATTTGGGGTTGATAGGCCCAGACATCGGCAATAAGGGGTGGTTTGGGGCAGCTTTCAGGGAGGGTTGGCAAGAGTTTGACCCAAAAGGGCCACTTCGGATGTTCTTGGGAAGCAAACAGCATCGTCCTTAATCTCAACTTTCTATCGATGTTTTGTTTTGTTTTTGTGAGCTGTTTTTTGTTTTTCGGGGTACTACACACTTGCCCTTTAGACCCGCCCGCAGGAAACCAGCCATGCTAAGGGTTATGAAACCACGCGGGGTGTCTGGCCGATCCCCCCTTAGCTATGGCAGCTACTGTGGATGGACAAAATCCTGCACCACCTAAGAGAGCCTGGAATGACGATTCCTGGTAAATGCCAACAAACAAGGGTTTCAACCCTTTATTTCAAGCTGGTGCGAAAGGGATTTCGCAACCATCCACAGTATGGCACAAGTATCCGCAAATATGATCTCAAGGCTTCCCAAGCAAAGCCTTGAACTGGTCGCTGGGTGGCCGCGAGGCTTGGTCTTCGCCACGGCCTACCCCATCGGCGCCAGCTTCACAGTGCAGCGATGTACACCCCACTGCAGTGCAGTGACTCAAGGCGCGAGTGGAGGCTCCTTCCTCTCTTGTTCTCTCTCTTTCTTTGTTTTGTTTCTGTTTTTTTTGTTTCTCTCTCTCTCTCTCTCTTTCTTTCTCGCTCTCGCTCTGTCTCCCTCCCCTCTCTTGGAATTTATTGAAAAGCAGGCTTTTTTGGTTTAGTTCTGATTTGTTTTGATCTGGTTCGTCCTTGTTTGTTTGATTGTTTGTGTTTGTTTGTGTTGTTTTGTGTTTGTTTGTGTTTGTTTGTGTTTGTTTGCGTGTTTGTTGATTATTTTGCTTGCTAGCTTGCTTGCGTGCGTGCCTGCCTGCCTGCCTGTCTGTCTGTCTGTCTGTCTTGCTTGGTTTGTTTGTTTGTTTGCTTTTCTCACCAGGTGAAAGCTACGTGTCTCTGCCCCAAACAGCTGCAGAGCTCTGGAGCGGGTTCCGGTGTCGCTGAGGTGCAATTTGCATACCACCTGGCTCTTCTTGAATTTTATTTGTTTGGCGGGTGACATGGCTGACCTTCTCCAACATGGAACCTGCGAAGGGGGCGCATCTACTTTCGGAGCCTTTGGCTGTAAATAAAGATGATCAAGCCACGAGGCAAGTTGGTGGACTTTAGGAACCAACGCCCCACAGGCCCCACGAAGAAATCGGGGGCACTTGAAACATTTGTGTAAGAGAAACCTTGCCGTTGTCGTATGGCTGTGACGTTATACATTTGTATGGGGGACGGACATCCTCAATAAATAGGTGGTGGACAAAACACGCCAGCAAATAATCCCCCCCCTCACCAAGTGCAAAACTCCCCCCACCGAACACTCCCCCCCCCCCAAGAAGTTAAGATCATGTTGGGGCTGGCAAAAGTAGTTGGACCAAACTAAGCTTAATTGAGTTTGATCAAGCCTAATGAATTATGATTAATTAAGCCCAGGCAAGCAAAGTTGAATGCTGCTTAATTAGGCTTAATTGGGCTTAACTTAGCTTAATTAAGCTTTGTTGAACCTGCCCAGCCCTGGCAACTGTGACATGCGCTGGCTTTGAGGGGAGTCAGACCTTACAGGTGAAGGAGAAGATTCAATCAATTGACACCAATTCCGGGCAATCCGAGCTCTTAGGCTCAATTAAGCTTAACTGGCCTTAACTTTTTTTTTTGGGGGGGGGGGTGCGTTCTAGGCGACCCCTCTCAGCTTAGAACAAACACTTCCCCCCTCCAAAAAGTTAAGGCCATTTTAGGCTTACTTGAGCCAAAACGGCGTAATCCAGCTTGCCCGCAGGCCTCACTACAGCTTCTGTCGCTAATTGCTGAGCCCTGCTGTGGGGTGCAATGGCCCCGAATATGCTTAGCAAGACAGAGACAGCCTTCTTTTTTGCGCCGGGTGGCTTTGGGGGGAGTCTGGCACTTGGAGACCCCCCCCCAACAAAAACAAACAGACACAGAGAATTGGGTCTGTCTCAAAGTAGGGGGCCCCAAAAAGTGGGCGGATCCCTTTTCCAGAAAGTGTACCAAGTCAAGAAAAAGGCACACCCAAATGGGGTTCCCCTCCCAAAAAACAAGAAGACACGCCAACTTGGGCTCAGGTGCCCGAAGAGAAGCTCAGAGCTCATAATTGGCACGAGCTCCTCTTCCATTTGCTTAAGATTATTATTTTTCCCCCTTGCTGGTTTTAAAAGGAATCTATCACTACTGGACATATTTCTCATTTTTTCTCTTTTGGTCTTAACCAAATGGAAGTCCTGGTGCAGGCTCCAGCCTGCAAGAAGTCATGGCTGCTCCGGGCACGGTGTACTACGTGGACAGCGAGGGCCGCCTCTTCTTGAAGCCCCTTGGCCTTTCAGCCACTAGCGGTTGACCGGATCTCACGACGATTCCCAAGTTTGGGGTTCCCGTGTTCTTACCTCTTAAAAACACAACTTTTCAACTTTCTGGGTAACATGGGCTACATGTCTGTAAAAGATTAACTTCCCCAGGGCTTGGAGTAGCAAGGGGTAAGTGTTTAGTGGCAACCTCTTGTGATGCCCGCGGGAATTTCCCAGTTTTGTCGGGCTTTGTTTCCAAAAGGGATCGATCGCCTTGTCTTTCTGGGTAACTGGGCAACTGAGACAATGCTGGTTTACTTGTTATGAAACGAAACACACGTTCGAAATGGTTGGTTTACATTTTCTTCCCTCAAGCACCCAAATCGCCTTGGACCATACACTTATGAGGCACTTATGAGGCTCGGCAAAACACATTTCCTGGGGGACTCTACATTTCAACCACGACAAAAGCTATAGTAGTCGCAAATTTAAGCATCCATGTAGTTTTCCTCGACTACAAGCAACCACGGTACATCCACAGTTGCAGGCACAGAACAATCGACTCTCAAAGAAGAAGGTGGTTTTACTGGTTGGTTTCATGGGAGTTATAGTGATAACCAGTAGAACCAAAAGCCAATGGGTGAAACAGCCGCAGCTCAGAAGAGCTATCTAGGTCTTCAGGTTGTGACTCGCCTGACACGCAAAATCGCCGAATGGATCGCAAAGGCTTGCTAATAAACGAATAGAAATCTTACGTTTAATTAAATAAATATGAACATAAACCAAAGCGACACAACCCCACCACGGGTTCCAACTCAAAAAATGGAACCATGGCAACAAATAAGAACCATCAGACGTTCGTTCCTTTTAAAAAAGCCAAGTGGACCCCGGCGGCTTTGTTCAGCCAAGATCCGCAGGTTCCTTTACGAAGACAACGGCTACTTCGAGGCCGCGGGCGTGCGGCAGCTGCTGAACGGGCACCGCTACCTCGCCGGCAAGGTGGGGGGCAGCCCAAAAAAAGAAGACGCACCCATATAGAGGTGGTTGGGGTGACCATGCTGAAACCAAGCTCACTGCTCAGATGAGCAGATGCTGTCATTTGCTTTTCTTTTATGCTGATGCTTTGTCGCCGTTGGCTCCTCGCAGATTCCGTGAACTGGCTTTATCTTTAACACTTTCCTGTTGATATGCTGTCCATGTTAATGTCCTTTTCCAGTCATTGTTCCTTTGATTTTTTGTGAGCTAACGGATCGACAAATTGTGATGCACCCAGAGTCTAGAGGTTGATGCCCCATCCTTTCCAAGCCGCCCAGATTGACGTGCTGTCCATGCAGATTCGATGTTCTTTTCCACGCATATGTTGTTTGTTTTATGTTGGCAGTGAACATGTTGGCTTGGTTTTTTTTGCATACATAGTTATTTTTCAAACGCTTGTTCCCATTTTCCAAACACCCATGGAAGTGGATAGGGCCACCAAAATGGGGGGAGCCTCTGTTTGGTTGCTTTTCCGCACCCGCCCCAAAAGGTCGCAGCAAAGGGCCTCTCCCTGCAAGTGGCATGCTAAAAGACACTATTGCAGTTTGGCCCATAAACTCCCCGACCCCGAGAAGCTTGGTTCCATGTGCTGAAGAATTCCTGGGGCTTGTTCGAGGGCACGCGGGACGGTCATTTCTCGAGGGCACTTCTTAAAAGCGCATTTGTTTCTTTCTGGGTTGTGGTGAGCCAAAAGTGGAAACGGCTGGAGTTCTCACAACATTAAGGCTTCATTAAGGGAATCCCTGGGTTCGTTGAACCACATTCCCTACCAATCGCACCAAGAAAGGCGGAACGAGCTGGAGTTGTTTGGGACCATAGGTGTCCTTTTGAGAAAACAGATGGCACTGGTAAATGGAATAAACATCATCTACACCAGTGGAACCCATGGCTTTTTAACCCAGTGCTAACCTAAAAAGGACACCTATGCCTATCTCCGTCTGGTTCCCGTTTTGGTTGCAGGGAAACAGGAAAACCACCATATCCATTTTTCTTTCCCAAAAAAGCAAGAACCGTGTTCTACCCGAAGAAAAGCGGAAGCGGATGGAGTTCGCCCAACCAGGGCGTGCACCTACAAATGGTACCATTGTTTTTGACCCACAGCCACATGCCTGAGACCAGGGCGTGCGCTACACGGTGAAGAGCTCCCGCTCCGGCGCGGTGCCGCTGAATCTGCCGCCGCCGCTCTCGGGGGGCGCAGCGCCCAGCACGACCACGGGGAGCACCACCCAGCGCCTCGGAGCTTCGGAGCTTCGGAGCGGCAAGTTGGGACGGGGCGGAGGTCCGTACCTAGGTCCCCCAGTAGTGCCAATTTTTGTTAACTTATTTGTTTGTTATTATTATTTTTGTTGGGGGGTTCCCCTACTCAAACAAAAACTACTTAGAAAAGGGTAATTGCCCGGATTCTAACCTCTCTACTGGAGGAGCTAGCTCATGTGCTCTGAGGCTTTTTGGGTTCAGGTGTGTTTGTTGGCATGGCCATTCCTTGCGGGTGTATCCGTTGGTTGGATGGGTGGGTGGTGGGTGGGTGGGTGCGTTGGTTGGTTGGTTGGTTGGTGGGTGGCACTCGCATGCCCATTCCTTGCAGGTTCATTTGCAATATCTAACATCGTGCGTAACTCCGAAGTCGGTGGTTGGTGGTGGGGGTAGGGCGAGGTCCAGCAGTGGCTCACGACTCCTGCCCTAGTCCCACACCGAGGTGGTCCCTGACCACCACAGTATCCACCACGACGGTGGATATGAGCCACTGCTCTCCAAACCACGGAGGAGAGCGCACTTGGCTGTCCGGTCCGGCAAGATCGAGTGTCTGGAAAAAGAGAATGAGATATGGATGTGTTGCAGGGCACCCTTGTTTGCGCTGTGGTGAACACGGGAGGTCAACAATACCATTTCGGGGTTCCCGCATTTGGAGAAGTCCATGCACCGCCGAATCAGTAAACAAGTTACGGAAGGCGAGAAGGGGCATTGCCGACCCTTCCCTAATGCTCCGTTGATGGGCTAGTTTGGGGTGGGGATGTCAACCTGTCAGATTCTGGTGATTCTGGTGGTTCTGGCTTCATACTGCGCGAGTGCAGGATGCATGTCAACGCTGTGCTGTCAAAGTCCGGGCTGGCTGTGCTACAAGCCACTTGGATGAGTTGCATGTGAGCCACAGCAAAACCTTAGATGAAGTCTGGGAAGGACTTCAGTTCCCCTCTGTTTTTTGTTTACCATGAGTTTTGGGGTGAATAGACCCCTTCAATGTCAGGTTTGCTTCCTTGAATGCCAGGTTTGCTTCCTCCTGTCCCAAAACAGGTCCCCTGCCTTGTTTACTACTGAAAGGGAAACTAGAAGACAACCACACAAAGTGGGTAGATTCCCTTGGTGACAGGTTTTGGGCACTCGTGTGCTTTCGGCTTGGGGTTCTTTGCCCACGCTCTCCAAGGAAAGACGATTATTGGGCCTCCTGGCCTGATGGAAGCATGCACCCTGAACAAGGGGCTGATGAATGTATTGAGCTAAACGTGCCATTCTTTGTCAGCTAAGCACCCCAGTGGTGCCCTTTTACCCTTTTTTGGGGGAGTACAGAAAAAAGTGGGTACCCTTATTCTAACCTCTCTGCTGGAGGACCTAGTCAGCTTAACTTCATCAACTTTGTGCTGAAAGCTGCTGATGAAACAACCAGCTCCGTGCCCATCCGAACTCCGAGGCCCAGTGCCGCAACAACTGCGTGCCGGGGATTCTGGAGGGCGACCCCCAGCCGACGCCCTGGACCTGCGAAGTGCTCAGGACATCCATTTCTCGATGCACTCGGGACGTTGGGCGACCTGTTGGGCGTGGTTTTTTGGAGGGTGCAAGTGCTCTTTCCAGGGATTGGTTCAAAGGTAAACCAAAAGGACAACCAGCTTGTAGGACCTAAATGATTGATTAGAATGGGGTTCTGGGGAGTTCAAGGCCAAGTTGAGTCGACCAGAGGGTCCTGTGTTGTGTGTTTTTTTGGAGTTGGGACCCGTTTCAGGGTTGGTGAGCTTGAAACCAAAAGAACAACCGAAATCCGTTCTGGGGGCTCCAAATCCCAATGTTTTGAGACACGCCTGGTGCGGGATTCGAAGGCAAAGTGAGCCAAAACCCATGATGGAGGTCCATTTCTTGATTGAAAGAAGTTGTCGTGCTGGCGCTTGAAGGGTTAGGCCCAAAACGAAGCCGGTTGGCATGGCGTGGATTTTTGTGGGATTCCAATCCTTGTTTCCGGAAGCTGTGCCTGTAGAGTGGAAGTCAGTAGGAACCGACTCTCATTTGATTACGGTTCGGGTGGGAAACCCGATTCATCAAACCAGCATGTGTAATTTTGGGGATTTCTCTCTCATTTTGTGTACCCAGCATGAGAAAGCGAGGCCCTGAAGTCAAGTCTTTAAGCGTTTGTGCAGGGCCCCTTCACCCACCGCTTGCCAGTACAACGCTGACCACAACAGCGGCGACCACGGTTTCGACGACAACTGCGGCCCCTACCACCACTGCAAACCCCACAACGACTGCGGCAACGACCACACCTGCAACCACCACCGCGACCATGACGACAGCGATTTCGACGACCACAACTACGACAGCAGCGACGACGACGACAGCAGCTACGACGACGACAGCAGCGACGACGACAGCAGCGACGACGACGACAGCTACAACGAAACCCGTGTCTTGTACTTCTCAATGGGGGAATTGTTTGAAGAGCAAGTGCTGTTGCTTGGATAAATTTTATTTTG